AATATGAATACTTTGTGCACATTAATATGAATACTCGAAGGCAATTCGGAGGCCACGTGCCTCGATTCGGAGTCAATTCGGGGGCCAGATGACACGATTCGAAGGCAATTCGGAGACCGCATGACACGATTCGAAGGCAATTCGGAGGTCACATGTCACGATTCGACCGTCACGCATCTTGTAGCTTCGCGATTTTTCTTACCTGACTCACACCCAAAATAGATAATTTTGTATTATTGTCTTTCGGAAATTCGCGCGTCGCGTGCTGCATCACGCGCTCGACCGACTCCGTCAACCCTTAGCATCGAAATTTGCAGGGAAATTCGCAGCAACCCGAAATTTGGCATTTCCGGAAGGAATTACTGTATTGTTATTTTGACTATGTTAGAGGATTGATTAAAGAATCTATCTGCGTTGAGCAAAAATACCCGTTACTGAATTATGTAACTCTGGACAGCTCGAGGATCTGGACAATAAGAACGACCCACGCACACACGCACACACACATATACATATCATGCAAATGTTCCGAACACAAGTGGTTAGAAGTAAATAGAGAGACGTCGCGATTCATTCTGACAGACTATTTCACATGCCTGCCACATCTCTAATTAAAGTTTATACCTAAACGTACTTCGTTACATTGTTATCGAAAAGGTCACCCCTTCGCAGCAGGCTGGTGGCTGTTATCGCTTCGTACAATAGATCCAGTGGCAAATGGTCTCGAAATTTCGTCCGCCTTTTGTGTAAGTCTACCTACCGTAGCTCTATATCGAAAGGGCAGTTTCTCCTCTCGCAGACACTAGACTTTCCGTGCGGAGCTGACACATTTGTTGCTCGTTTCTCGGTTCTCGGTTCTGGCTCCCACGCTCAATCTTCGATCGCAGGTGCCTTCTTGTCTCTCGTGTCCACCGTCTGGAATTCTCCGGCTCCAGATATGAGAGAGAGAGAGAGAGAGAGAGAGACTTCGTCCTTCGTCCTGGCCGACGGCTAGCCGCAGACTCGCGGTTTTATCGAACAGAGGACGTCGGCTCCCTACGGAATTGCGTCGGTTTCCGGGCAAAAGGAGCAGGAATTTCGCCGGGCAAGAAAAGGTCCGTGACCTTTTCCACGAAACGGAGGCGTCCGACACGTTCCGGAGCAAGCTCGATATTCGCCGGCCTTGAAAAGAATCGTTTAGCTCAACAAGCAGCGCCGGGTGTCGCCGCCCTTATCGCTCGTCGCGAGCGAAATCTCCGTCGAGGAAGGGACCATGCATCATCGCCGGCTGCCTTTATTTGCCGAATTCCTCCCGGCGGCGGGGGAGGGGGGAAAAAGCGCGAGTTAGACGAAGGATCCGGCGGAAAGGAATTCTCTGCGGTCGGGACGCTAAGCTCTCGGCTGAATCCATTAGCTGACGCCATTAATATCCCGGTAATGATGAGCGATGAGCCGGCGCGAGATGGAGCGGCGTCGCGGGGAGCAAGACAAGTCGCGTCCCTAAGTGCAGAGGGGGTTGAGGCCGGCGATTCCCTCATGGGGGACCATGAGCTCCCTGAGTCCGCGATCCTATCGAGCCACCGCGCGAGACCTTTGATAAATGCTGCTTCGCTTGGCCCGTCGCCAAACACCACGCGCCACGGTATTCCGTCGGCTCCTCTATTCTGCTCGCCGCGCGACTTATCGATGTAATCAAATCGCCCTCTGCGGCTTAACAATCGACTAGCGAAACTTTGCATCCGAATTTATCTGCGGAATTGCTGCCGCGATCCTCGATCTATCGGCTTCTCCGAAGTCGTGCCCCGGTTCCGAATTCGGAAACTTGTAACCCTTTGGTGCCAAACGTTATCGATACATGTTGGTTCATTAGATAAATTCCGTTGCTGCATTCTTGCACTTTGTTCCTTATAAGAAGGTTCGGATAGTCGAGGTTCCACTCGACGAAAATAAATTACCTTCAATTGTAATGTGTTTGGCTTCCTCATTTCCGTCGTAAATGCATAAAAACCGAAGACAGTATTGAAGAAACGAAGTGAAATTCTTAGTTGCTAGGTTTATGATTAACACTTTAATGGCAGCTCACTCATGCGTGTGATGCTTTAATAATTATGTAGGCGATTGCTTTTATAATTATCACACAAAGGAAAAATATTAATTATGTTGTATTTTAATGTGTTGTCATTGTTGTTGTTTTTGTTTTATGTGTATGCTCGCACATTTTGAATTATTTCATGAATTTACATAAATATTGCCGGCCCCCTGGCGACGTTTGACTGCGTAGACGTGCGGTCATTAAGGTGTTAACGAATGTCAATAATTTTTTACTCAGAACTCGACATTCATACGGCATAATAAATATAGCATTTTATTTTAAAAGACAAAGTTGCCCGTCAAATATCCGACACATGCTTCCACTTATTAAATAGATAAATAACCATGCAACACACACTTGTATACAAAACCGTTTCGTGCAGCACACACTTTGGAAGTTATAGATATGTGCAAGTTGCGTGGACTACCCTGTATATGTATATTACCTGAAATGACCTTTTTCTCACCTAGAATGAGCATTCGTTCCATTGTGCACCGGTGGGAACGATCAACGTCGTCCTTCTGAAACGCGGACCAGTTCCGCAATCTCTTTTTGTGCACCTAATGCAGCCGGAGTAATTCCTGCAGCTAGACGCGATAACGAAACCGAGATGAGAATGCATCGCGGGGGGATCGCCTGCGTCTCCCGATCGGCGCGTCTCGCTGGCGCAGAGCCAGCCAACAGAATACCCATCGACTGACTATAATGCTCGCGGGCGTGCTTATCGATACGCATTAAATCGGCGGTCCCGAAGCGCGTCGTCGCTGCCACCCTCGGTCCACGGGTCTCGCACCTTCAGGTAAATGAGTCTCGCGTTCACAATGCGTCGCCGATCGATCTCGCGACAATGGCCACCGACGGAGACGGCGGCGCCGTCGCCGTCGGAGGAAGTTTCTCCGGCACGGAGAGATCTTTCGCAGCGAAATCACTTTCCCTTTTCGCAGGCGCGACACGTAACCTTCGCCCCGCGTTCTCCCTCCGCCACGGTCCTACGGGCTCTTTTTCAGAAGGAGGACGCGTGACGAGCGTTTTTCGTGGAGCTTATGCTCGTCTGCGCGAGTCCTCGCGACGAATCCGAGCCGACGGGACGCGAGAGGCGCGCCGAGGTCTTGACGTGAATTTCGAGGAAGTTCTATTCTTGTCTGATCCGCGAGCTTCCCCGTGATCCTTTTCGAGATGATGCGGGGAAGTTTGATAAATGGAGCGCTGCCGCGATCGTTGTTAAATCACTATCCATGGATCTCGAATTGTTCGTTCGCGGCGTTGTTTTAGCGTCGCCGGTCCGCTTTAAAAGCCGCCATTTCGGTTTAATTGTGCTCTTGTTACGGGGATGTATAAATTTTGGATAATAGCATCAATTCGCGTGCACATTGCAATCGAGTTGTAGATAAATTTCCACCTTAACTGGTTGTCAACTTTGGTCCAATTTAGGTCGCAAAATATTAACGTGCCGTTTACCTGAACGACACTCCGGGCTTGACAAAATTAACGTTGCTGATTTAATTTTCCGTCGGCAACGGTTGTTGCTACAATATTGTAATAGCAGTCATTGTTATTACAGCGTTATTGCATCAGATTACGTAGGATTATTAAAGGTCCTAGTTGGAACAGTTTATTGCAACCGTGTCCCGTTTGCGATCTAGTCGAAAACAAATATCTTTGAAGCGGGCCGCTGTTTTACGCGTTGAAAAGCTGTTTCGAAGCTTCATATACAAGATATGTTAATAATAACAGATCGTTGGGACATATTGATTAATCTTGGTTGCGCTAGTCGATGTCGAGGCGTCGATTGCGACTACCGTTCAGTCATTCGTATTCGTTCAACGAGCACTCGCATCCGCTCCGAACACCGCGATAAACGATGTAATTGGCTGGAGTGCCGGATTCCAGGGCAATATTTTACAACAACTGGACTCTCAAGCGTACCATTACTTTTCAGTGTTTCGCGGAGTTGCGAATAAACTAAGAATCTAATCAAATATTCATTTGTTTTTTAGCATTCCCCGCATTTCCATAATTGCGTAAAATCCGCCGTTTAGCAATTTGCATACCGCCCGCGGACCCGTATGCAAATTCCCGTTTCCCTGGACTAATTATTACTATTATTACGTCGCTCTCATTATGCACTTCCTAAAGTTGCGCGATTCAGAGAAGGACTCTGACGAAAATGTTGATGCGATTCGAATTAATCGCGAAAAATACGCACGCATTTCTTTCGCGACTTCGATCTATAAATCGAACAGCAATTTTCCACATTAACCGGTCAGCTGCTTTCTTTTGCTAGTATGCTTGTCATAATAAAAAAGAATACATATTGCCTGTTTTTCGCAACCAGTATGCACATCAAAAACACCCAACTGGCTAAGGATATTTTATGCTTCGATATATTCTTTCCTTACATATATCTTATAAAAGTGCTATATTTACACAAAATAAAAAGAAAATTAAACGTAAAATAACACTAATTTACACGCTTTTCGAAGAGGTTGCAACAGTTAAACGGTTAACATTCTCACTAGCTTAACACTAGGTTTCAGAACCCGTCAAAATAACGGATCACTAATTTTATAATTTTATAACATAAGTTATTTATTCAATATACGTGTTACTCGCGGCAGATAACACTCGTTAAAAATCAGCATAAATGTCTTATTGCGTCTTATTCTGTATTGTATATTATTTTGTGTGTTATTGTGTATCATTATGTATTATGTCTTATTTTATGAACTAGTATAAAACAGCTGCTGTTGGTGCTCCGTAAATCTAGCGTTGAAACATGTGATTTGTTCCGCGAAAATTCCTATCCCCTTGAATCTACCCAACGCGTATGTATCTATTATACCGCGAAATAACCTACTACCGCGCAAAACCTGAAAAGAATGCCGCATCGGGAACCAGTCTGACAACTGTCTTCTCCTTTTTGTTTCAGATGATCGATGCGTCCTACCACACGAACCCATCGCTGCAGAGCACCGCCCTGATCATCACCTGCGCGGTGGTGTTGCTGCTTATGGCGGCGATCGTCTCCGTCGTCTTCTGGAAGTGAGTACACACCTCTGATTCCGAATTCCAGCGAGAATAACAGTAGACTCGTCGTTCTACCTCGCGCGGGACAGGCGAACAAACAGAACATGGTCGCGCGTAGCGCCATTCAGGGTCGTCGAGGCGGCGCGCGGCGTCACCCCAACGGCAATAAAGACCAGGTTTCATTCCGACTGGGCGTCGTAAGGTGTTCGAGGGCTCAGGGTCGTTCGGGTTGTAACCATATTTCAGGCGTTCGAGTGGCCGGTCCACGTGGAAGGTCTCACGGACAAAGAGGGCGCGGGAGGGGAGGGGCGAAAACGAACGATCGAGCAGGGGTGAATATGTCCGCGGCCTCTCGCCGTTCCAGCGGTCACTAAATTAGTCGAAAATTGGCGATTCCGCGTCGGCCCGCGGGCTACCGACACCGTTTGCTTAGCAAGATTACAGTCCTTTCTCCTTCGGCAATCTCCTCGACGTTGGAACCTGTATGAACTATTCAACGGGTATAGCGGCGAGGTCGGAAGAATCGTCGCAGACAGGAAGCCGGTGTCATTGTCATTCCGGGCAGCGCTAAATTAGCCGTGAATAGGCCAATGCGGAAGTTAGTGCCCGTCTGGCATCGGCCGCCCTCTAGACACGGGTCTCGCTCGCTGGCTATAATCTATTGTGCCACCGTGGAATCCTCCCAAGTGTGCCTCGAGACAATATATATATATATATATCCGTAAGCCGGGACACGCAGGCCCTATAAATTCTCGCGAGGTCCTAATGAACTTTATTTCTCTCGGCGCCCGAAGCCGCGGGAAGCGGTTTTTCCAGCGCAGACGTTGTTGCAGAAGCTGAACACCTTGCAGTTGCACTAGCTTGGCCATTAATCCTTCGCGAATGTTAGCCGATAACTCTATTTTTGAAGTTAGTATGACCGAATTGTTCTCGTTCTAACATTTTTCCGTCAGTTTGCGTTGATTTGCTCTATCTTTTGTTCCTTTCTTCTCTTTGTTTGTACTTGTGCGATTGCTATGTAAAATCTCTTTATTTGTTGTTACATACTTCTTCTACAACGAAAGGTTTCTTCTAACCGTATACATGAATAAATTATTGCTATTACTATTATTAATTACTATATTAAGCTATAACATCCTGTCAAACTCGTGATGCAGATTTTCAGCAGAATCTTCTACAATGTAGACGTCGTTGTTCATCTATTTGAGATCGAAATAAGATTTAATTTGCTTGTTATCGATTCTTGATCGTTAGAATTATCGCAGACACGTTTCAATTAGAAGTGAAAGTAATCGTAGGCCATGAGATGGGTTTCGCAATGAAAGATGACCCAACTTCGGTTTTAATAACTGATATACTCACGCAAGGAGAATTACAGAATTGAGACAAACGAGAAGAACGATAATTGCGCACGGACCAAATGAACATCTTACATTATCGTGTGGATACAAATACGTAGAATATTTATTAATAAATGCTGCGATTAGCGTGGTTCTGACAGGCGAACCGATTAATAATTTCCTTGCTCCAAAAGGATCGCAAAATTAGATTACATGGTCGACCGTCACTTCGTCGTAAACGATTACACTCGCTGTAACAAAAGCTGTTGAAAAATCTTCAGGAAATCTTCAGCCAAGACTTTAAGAAATTATTAGGACGCTCACCTGAGCCAGTGAACGGTCTAAGGAACGCATCTCGAGGAAACAAGGAGGCGTCGAGACGTCGTTACGCGCCGACTAGCAAGAACAGCGCCGCGCTGATAATCTCCGACACGGTAGCTGGTCTCTCTCCCGCTTTTGCGGCCGCGTAAGCGAGCTAGATCCCCGCGAGATCGAGCCCCGTACAAGGAAGAAATATGCGTCCAGCGAGGTACGCGGCCTCGAAGATTTACAGGGTCCCGCTTTCGACCCATTCGGACATTGTCTCCGTCTGGTTTACGCGCTGCGACGCCGTAAAAACTGAGATACAATGGCGGAAAGGAGGGTTTCTAGAGCCGACTCGCTGCCGCGCGCGCGGCATCTCCTCCCGCGTCAAACGGGAAACGGACTTCCCTATTCGACGAATAATTCACGCGGGCCGCCTTTTGCGAAATGCGCGAGAAATCTCGACGTTGCCTGCGTAAGGTAACCTGCGGTTTTTCCTCCTCAGCGTCGCGTCATTGCGGCCCCGATAACGGCGCGAGATATAAATCCCGCACGCTCTGAAACAGTTGCAGTCCCGTAAACGCGTCCCATTTTTCGGCGACGAAATTGCTCGGCCGTGCGCCCATGACTTTCCGGATGGAGAACTGACTCAGCAAATCGGTAAATCATATTCTAACTAGATACTGCATCGAGTCTATAAATTGCGGTACCTTCCAGCCAATGGAGAACGGAAGAACCAGCGTTTCCCGAGTCAAAGGACGTTACAGAAGAAATACTATACGGTTGTTCGATTATTCGCCGGGCAATATTTGTTTCCGGGACGGGGTCTGGCTCAGACAACTGCGAGTAATCCGGCGGGCACGTTGGCAAAAGGCTGCGACGCGATGCCGATGATGCCACGATCGATGAACCCTCTCCGTAACGGAAGGATCGGCAGCGGGCCAAGACGATTTTGGATCGCACAGAGGGCCGCATTCAAAATCAACGAGCCAGCGCGCGCGGTATCTTTAGCTCTGCGAAGCTCTCGAGGCCTCGCGGGTCGCGACAATGTCCGGCCTGTCCGCCCGTGGCCCTCCTTTCGCCTGGTTATCGTAATGGCCGGTCATTATCGCTCGTCCTCGGTAACATCTCAAGCGTGGCTCTTGTACCGACGCCTCGCGACTCTCTTTTGCTCTATCCTCTCCTCTCCTCTCATCTCCTCGCGCTTCTCTCCACCGCGAGAGAAACATCGCCCGCGGAACATTCCTGCACGTGAAACGGCAACCTGCCCGCGCCTCCCATCGACCAGCTCTCGGTCGCACGATCGACGAATAATTTGTTTGGACGGGAACCGTGGTCCGAGGCTGTTTGTACAACAGCGTCTCTCTGTAGCTCGCCGGTTTTTTCAGTTTATCGTAATAGCCCGGCCATTATCGTGGCCCACGGGCGTGCGAGCGTCTCTCTCTCTTTCTCTCTCTTTCTCTCTCTTTCTCTTTCTCTCTCTCTTTCTCTCACTCTCACTCTCCCGAGTGCTCGCGACGACGCCGAGTTCCCGGACTTTGTGGGTGGCATCTCATTCCTTCGGCTGTTCCACGGCTCGTTCGCCGAGGCGGTAAACGCCGCGTCCTGTCGTCCTGCTCCCCGGAACCGTCGTGAACCTCTCTTGACGCGAGAGAACAACCGTGTCTTTCGCTGTAACGGGCGTCTGCGGCCGCATCAACGCTAATGGGTTTCTCGTATCCGCGCGGTTAATAATGTGCTCGAGAGCAATCATCTTTGCCGGCGACAAATAAGTCCGCTCGAGATCTTTATAACGCCTCGGACGCCGCCCCTCGTCTCTGCAGAATCCGTGCTCCGCTGCAGATCGTTTCTTTCTTTTTTTCGGAAAAGGAAGGAGCGCGAGCAGTCTAGATTATTCTGCCGTTGGTTGCCCGATCGAAAATCTTCCAGTGCGGTGTAAGGTAATAGTCACCTGCTATGAAACACCGCGCAATCCTGACAGTTTCTTCAAACAATACAATGATAAGTAGATAGAGAAGATGAAAGTGGATGTAAAAATTCTACCTGTTTTTGGACGTTGTCACGCGACATTTGTCAATTGTGACAATTTCGATATTGAGATGTCTTTTTGCCAGGTTTACGTGTATGTGTGTCTTTGGCAGTCAGAATTCATTTCTGTTCGTAAAGTCTTAACGTGCCATTATTGGATACTGTACTAAATTGTATTGAAAATTAATGTGTCTTGTTAAATCAAGTCCTCTCTACGCTTATTTAACGCTCGGAACAAGAATGATTTTCAATGGTCGCTGGAGACGAATGCAGGGTCGTTTCGACTCATAATGAAGTTTGTGTTGGAAACTGCTCCAAGACTGCTCTTTATAAATTTACTCACACAAATATTGCTATGTAACAGTCAACTTCATAATATAAAAATTTTTTACGAGAAATTGCGGTCCTCAGAGTCAGCGACGTTTATTACCTGACATAACCCTGACCTAACTCTGATCTAACTCTGATCTAACTAACTCTGATCTATCTCTGATCTAATTCTGATCTTACTCTGATCTAACTCTGATCTATCTCTGATCTAACTCTGATCTATCTCTGATCTATCTCTGATCTAACTCTGATATAACTCTGCTCTGCACTTTGGACAAGGTTTTAAGAGAGAACGACTCAAAACATCCTGGTATTCTTATCTCGACAAAATCGTCGGATAGTAAATTTTGATACTATAAAAACTTTATCGCGAAAAGTTGCCAACAAAATTTATAGGCATAGCCGGTCAACGGTCAATCAAAAATAAAGAATTATTTTTATGAAATCGTATAACTTTTTTATGCAGATCGATGCATCTTTGTATTTTCTTTGACAAATTATTACGGCATTTTGTTCGAAAATTGATCAGCTTTAGGAGTTATGATTTTTGTTCCGGATGCTCATATAAGCGCCGCACTGTGCGCCGGTTCGCGTCCCGAGCAAACGCGGAGAACCAACACGGCCGCGCGTAGTTTGTATGCTAATCACAGCCGTGTTCTCCCATCTCCGCGTCCTCTCGTCCTCGTTCCGTCCGCGCGATACACGCTCCTCTTCACCCTCCTCGCCCTGGTCCCCGGATCTCCCTCTTTCGCTGTGCATCAGCCGCGTGTTCCCTCATTGCCGGTTCTCTTTCTCCTCGGCACGATGCGATTTCCTGCCCGACGCCGCGCCGTCGTCGTCACAGTTCCAGCCAATTCGCGATAATTCGATGCCGTTGCTTGAAACGGCCACGCGAACGGGACGCGATTCTTCCGTTCCCTTCCTCTTCTTTGCCGCCGGCCTCGATCATTGCAATCGAGAGCTGCGACAAATTGTAAGTGGACGTAATGCTCTGCCGCCCTCAGCTCCTTTGGC